CGCAAGCACGGACAACGTTTAATGGCCCTTCCATCAGACTCTCATCTCAAGCTTCTACACTCTGAGCAGCTGTAAATGCAGCATACTTCATAAGCTGAAAAACGTAAACAGGCCCGCTCCTCTACAACTGGCAGGAGTCAGCAGCAATGCTTGGCAGACAAACATGTAGTGAGCCTCGCAGCCCGGCCACCGTCCTCCAACTCTCGATGTAGGGCCCTTAAAATTGGAATTGGGTTTTGGGCTTGTGTATTGAAGCAGAATCAATATATTCGGCAATAAGAGGGACCACTATAACTTACCGATGATTCCGATCCCTAACTATCATAATCTTATTAACGGCACTGTCATCAGATGCAAGGGTCTTGTCCCAATGGATCTCATCCTGGCAAAACCCAGGCTAATTGTGGTGACAATTGATTTGAAGCAGTAAGAAGAAAGGTATGCAAACAACAACAAGCATCACAATAACAACGGAAGCGACAGTAGAAAAAATGAACAGAAGTACCAAAACTCAAACATCTGTAAGAATATGAATGAGACATTGGACCATAAAGCAGGATAGACTCAACTGCATCCCGCTTGGGCGGACTCGGTCCTGTCTTCCCGGTCGGCGCCCCGACCTCCTGGGAAGGTCTTTCACTGATTTCTGCTTGACGTTAATACGGCTGATGGACAAAATCCTGCATGACCTTATAGACCTAAACTATGGGATTTATGGTACTCTACTATACTTGGGTCATGCAGAATTTTGTCCATCAACAATAGCGACGGTTGCCAGCCTTAGAGGGCTCATGCTCCTATGCCTCTTAAGACAAGCGAAGCGTCAAATGAAGCAGCCAGACCGCTCGAGCAAATCCAACAGATCCGCGAACACATGAGAGAGCTACAGTAATTCATCTATCTGATACCAGTATCACCTGATTCGAAGGACTGGAAGGCGTGTTGGGATGGTTGACGTCGCGCTGCAACTGAATCGAATTACAATCTGCCGGTCCGTCAGGGAGGTGACGATTAAGCATGCAAACTCCAAGCTGTTGGAGAGTCTTAGCAAGACGGAGCTGTCCTGAAGTCATCAAGCTGACTCTGGAGCCTGAAGCCATGTTCGAAAGCTTCGCAGCTCGGGGAATGGGATGGTTCAGATTCGGTTCCCTTGTCCTTCTTGCAGAACCTTGCAGAAACCTATCCCAACGGGAGCCTATTCAGGACCATTTCAATCCCCATGCAAATCAGAGTTTCAGATGGCAGTCATGATGAAGCTGATGACTTTTCGCTGCGGGGATGGTGCAGGCCACAAAATCGACCTTAACCCTGCACCCCTAAAGCCATAAAGCCCTGCAGCCTAAAGCCATGTAGACTGACGGCCAAAGCCCAAGCTCCAAACCCGTAGCCCCTGCACCTGTAACCCCTGATCATCCCTTGTAGAACCCTTGTAATCCCTTATAGAAACCCTCATAAGACCCTTGTTATAGAAACTCTTATAGAACAAACCCTTATAGAAACCCTTATACACCTTGATCTGCGCGCTCCAAGAACCGCACTCGTCGGCAACATCGGTCTGCTCGCAGTCACGGCACCTTGGGACATAGAGGGCCTTTGGTAGGGGCCCTTCAGGATTTGACCAGGGTAAGGTGTAGATTATGTACTATTGAAGTAGCTACCTCCGGTGACCATAGACCTCGAAAGTAGGAGATCTGGGCCGCTAGCTTCTATGATCCTTGTGGAATCAAGGCCCCGACGTCCTGTCACACTCGGCTCTCAGCACCCTTTTAGCGCAGCTGGAAAACTGAGGAGCCCACGCCATGATCGCAGAAATCATCCTGTGAGGGTTCGACGTCTCTCAGCCGGCTTCGCGCCGAGATTTGACTCACTGAGCTCTGAAGTGCTGAGTACGGTATGGTCACGGATGACGGGCCCCGGAAGGAATCAGAAGCTTTGAAGCAGCACAACTTCGAAGTGATGTAATGCGGGCAAGCATCGTGTTCTCGTCTGGGACGATGTCATCTTCCTGCATCTGCCGCAGCAGCTCCACTGCCTGATGTAGGATCAACTGCATTTCACAAGCTTGATGCCCTCCATCAACCGCTTCCGCAGCCTGGGCCCACTGAGTCCCAACTTGGCAAGCAGCGATGGCGGCACCTTAAGCAGAAGCCGCGACGATTCGAGGGCTGCAGTGTGCAAAGTTGCAGTGCTAAGCCTTCAACTGTAGGCTATGCCATCTAACCTCATTCGCCGCCGCCTCCGAAGCGTTGCGAAGCGGTCTGAATAGTCTGCATCGCAACAAGCATCCGTCCTCGCATCGCCTAGGAGCTTCAAGGACTTCTCCCAGTGACCACCTGGCACGTGAGACGCAAAACAGGATGAGCCTGAACCTTAAACCCTAAAGTTATAGTCATAGCATCGTACATTACACAATGTGTCACTCGAAAGGGTTGGACTGCTGGCGCTGTGCCAAGGGCCAAGTGTGGCAAGGTCGGCTCTTGCCGCAGGCACTGATGGCGCCACTGATGGAGACCTCACTTCAACCCGCTGGCCACCGAAAGCAGTTCGGGCTTGGGTCTTCTTATCCGGGCCCGCCGTTTTAGACAGCCATGCTAATCTTGAACTGGACCCTAAACCCTAAACCCTAAACCCCTAAACCCCTAAAGCCCTAAACCCTAAACCCCCTTCCTTCGACACAGAGTCCTAGCAGCATCCATGGCAGAACGCCAGAGATGGAGAAGGCTCCCCCAAATAACCCCCCGCNNCCCCCCCCCCCCCCCCCCCGCAGGCGAACTCCTATGTAAGACTCTGAAACCTTGCCGCAACATAGACGCCCATAATAAACAGAAGCCTGCCAACCCCCCAATCTAAAACTATAACTTCCCTACAAACCCCTGCAGAGTCTCTAGGCTCCTGGCCAAATCCGGATGCAGGGAACCCCTGTCCGCCTGGCTTCCAGTAAATGAGGGTCCCTTTCATGCTTGCTGAAAGGGATCTCCAATGGCTCCAAGGGTTTCTGAAGGGTTTCGATAAGGGTACTACAGTTTGGGTTCTCTAAGGCCTCTCCGATTCTCCGATGGAAAGCGGTGGCGACCGCGTGCCAGGGGCTAACGATATTTCAGGGTTCGGGGCTTTGGGGATTTCAGGTTTTCAGTGTGTGTGGAGTCAGTACCTACATACGCTTCTATGTGTTTGCGTGGGCGTGCCACGTGGGCAATGGGAGCATGCGCGCTTCCGAGACCAAGCGCAAGCGGTGCATGTCTGCATGTGTGTGCATACAGCAAGACATGTGCAAAGGAATATTCATGTCAATGTGTCTGTTCAACATTCAAATCATGAACATGTGCACTGACTGCGTCGTATATGTGAGTGCGTGTGTGTGTGTGATTACTTTCTGCTGTCTCTGAGGACATGACATGGTATGACATTAGGTCTCATTTCCTTGTGCCACCAGTTCCTTGCAGGGCTTTAACCAGGGAATCTGGTTTGGTGGAGCCGGGGGATAAACCTGCCAGGGTTTAGGGTTTTGGTTTTCTGGGGGGGTACGGCATCAATGTTGCTTTTTACGAGGTTAGGGAGCAAGCGTCTTGTTCGGGCGTGGATTTTGGGACTCTCGCAAACAGGACTTGCGCCTCCTTTAGGAAGGAAAGGGCTTGTTCCCATTCTCCAGCCTGCAGACGCAAGGCAAACCTCCGGGCACAAAGCTGTGGGCCAAGACTGGGCAGGCCTTCTCACTGGTGCTGATGACCTTCAGGGTTTTAGTCAGGCTTCAGGAGGTTAAGCCTGAAACCTGAAACCTAAACTTTACCTAAACCTTGGTGAGGCAAAGCTTGGAGTTGTGTGGAGCTGAGCTGGGGCGCCGGCCGAGTTCATGATTACTAAGTCTGGCTGCATTCCGCTGAGCCTCATCTTCTCTAAGAACCTGCCCGGGCTTTCCAATCCAAAAACCGATAATTGCCCAGCAAATGGAAACTTCGCGTGTCGGCTGCCTTAGAGCAAGCGGAAGGTCTCGTGCACGGTCGCACACACCAATTGCAGCCTCAAGGCAAGCTGACTTGACGGATACTCCTGCATGTCGCACACGGGCCGCCGACTCCAAAGATCATGTTGTCCGGCATGATGGATCGCGCATCCATCTCTTCCCTCACATGAAAAATCGGCAGGATTTGTGTCAGGCCAGCAGTATCATCTGCCAGCCAGGGCCCGGACATCAACTGCAGGGCAGTCTCCGCGTCTTGAGTAGCTCTCAAGGCGACGCTGTAGGAAATGACCTCTCGCATTGCTGCCGAGATCAGGTCCATACAACCACCTTGGAGAGCGCTAACAACACTGCTAATGCAGGCCGGCGATACATCCATTGGTATGCCACTGGATCGCATGTCCTGCTGCAGAAATTCAATTTGATAGTCCATTCGTCAAGGGCCGATTGCAGAGAAACCCCAGCGAAGGCAGCTTGGCAGCAACAACAAAATCCAGGCACGCCCACCACTGAAAAAAACATGAACTTGCAAACATCGGGATGAGTCGTAGGCGTCGAAAAAAAGCATGTTTCCACCACGGGATCCCCTTTACATGTAGCCGATCACATCCCGCTGGCTGTTTCTGCTCCGTGCGACTCCGACATGACGACATCCGCACATCTGGGAGAGGGCACAAGGCTGCAAAGCCCGTGAGACCTGTTAATGTTCAAACTCTCGCAGCGAATTCCTGTACACTACAAACGAACACCGAACCCAGTTGGGCTGCTGCGTTGTGACGTTGAGAGTGCGTCTTCAGGGTTTCGTGTTCATCTATGCATTTACCTTTGATGCCCGTGAAACTTGGACACAGGACCAACTGCCCCGATTACAGAGCAGGCAGCCAAGTCGTTAGCAATGAGTTCTTCTTCGCGTTTGCGAACACACGGACATCCTATCCCACACCACGCAGGCCATGCGAAGAGAGCTCGCTTCTGCCAGAAAACCTGCCCTTGCCGGGTTCCTACTGAAGCTTGGCCTGCGCAGTGCGCAAGTGAAACATGCTCAGGATCGCGCATCCTTGCCTTAGCTGTAGGGGACCGTGAGTGGCAGACCCTTGGTTGCTATACCTCTAAGATCTCTTGAGTCTTCAGAAGAAAATGAACTTCCCATGCCTGGCGGCTATTTCGACAGCTTCCCAGAGCTATGGCCAGTTTTCGTGCCTGAGCAACTTCACTCCGCATTCCGCACTGGCCAGATTGCTTTGGACAGTCTGGAGATGTGTTGAAGCAGTTGAAGGACTCAGCCCCAAGCAGCATCGAGAACTTGCTTCGTCTCTGAGAGTGTCGGCCTCGCCATTCCGCTCTGAAGCCTCAGGGGTAAACCAAACCAGATATAGTCTTCGTCTCTGACTAGTTGTCCTTACCTGTTCCTGATCCTCCTCCTCCTCCTCCTCATCCTTCTCCTCGTCCTTGCGGATCTTGCGGTTGCCGCAGCCTCCACCGCCTTCGCCTCCGCCACGGCCGTGATCGGCAAGCTCATCATCATTATCATCATCACCATCAAGATCAACTGGCTTTGATCACACCAGACAGCTGAAGCCTTTTTCTCTTGCTGACTTGATATAATAACCACGATGACAGGTTTCTGGAGCTCGGATGCCGGGCACTCGCTCTTGCCAACAGACGGCTCCGAAGAAGAATCTGAGAATAAATCGAGGATACTCTGGCAGCTTGGCTTGGACAGTTGCGATGCCCCTGATTTTCGGGGCAACCCTGGTCTCAAGAAGGACTTGTCCTAAACCCTAGACTCTAGACCAATTGGGGTGCTGGCTTTGGCAGTGATACGCTGCCGGCCGCAGAGCCTGCATACCAGTCCTGTCAATCTGCCATCAATGGCCGTACTCCGAAGTGACTGTGCATTTCAGTTTTATCATTCAGCTGTCCTGTTTGATTGTTTATCGTGTATACATACATGAAAAGACACATACTCGCATCTATCGAAGACTAGTGGATCACCAGCAAAAACAGCAGCAACGCCTCCATGAGCAGTAGCAGCAGCAGCAGCAGCAGCAGCAGCAGCAGCAGCAGCAGCAGCAGCAGCAACAGCAGCAGCAGCAGCAGCAGCAGCAGCAGCAGCAGCAAGCAAGCATACCGGCAGCATCAACAAAGCTAAATCCTGTACTGATCGCAACAACGATAACGACTCATACCACCAGAACTGTCCTAGAAGACCGACATCGGATGATGCTGCACCCACCCTCGGCCCCCACCCTCTTGGGCCACTCTACGATGTGGTTGAAGACACTGACGGTTGCCATAGATCGTCACTGCTGAAACACTGCAAACGCCTCGGCCTTCTGCTGCGTCATGCGATTCCGCTGGAGTGGCCTGATAGGCAACTGCCACAAACATTTGTTTAGACATAAAATATAAAACATTTTTTATATACGCAACTGCCATGGTAAATTTTCAATTCGGTCGGCATCTAGATTTGCAGTAGTTGAGGCTCAGAGCACGGGAGCAGAGAGAGAGGCAGACTGTGAAGGAAGAGGAAACCCGTGCAGAGCTACCCAGTGGCTAAGCTGTTGACTGCAAGTACTTGGCGGAAACGGAGGTGTAGTCCTCACGGAACCATATCGAACATGTCAAACACGAGCCTGAAATCCAAACGAAACTGTCTGTTCCGATACCTACACTCTGGGAGATGTGCAGGCACTGTGCAGGGCTGTCAATGTCGCAGACTTGAGACTGCACTTCGCGAAGTCCTGTCCACGCACCTTGCCGGGCCCGAGCAAATTCAACCTGAGGGCAGCACAAGAAAGAACGCCCCACGGCCCCGCTCTAAAACGTCTCTAAGCCCTATGCATCTCGTCCATGGCGATCGCTGCCCGTTCGGGGCCGAGGGAGAAACTAAGCCGCAAGCCCGGCACTCGACTGTCCGACCTTGGACCAACGCCGGATCATCCTAAACCTTAACCCTAAGGCCTCTGAATCAATGCCTAAACCCCAAGCCGAAGCCCTGTTCATGCAAAACCGCAGCAACTCCTGCTTCTACCGTAACCCTACATCTCAAGCCCCAACCCCAAAAGACCTGAACACCTGAACACGAACCTTTTCGGTTTAGGGTTTAGGGTTTAGGGTTTAGGGTTTCCCCAAAAGACCTGAACACGAACCTTTTCGGGGATCAGCTGCGGCTCAGGCCACGTCGGGGGTGGAAGTCGACCGATTCAACCTCGCGGGTTCCGGGGGGATCAGAGCTCCAAGTGCACGTAAGCAAGATTGTTGGTTGGTACATCTTTTTCCATTCAAAATTAAGCAACGTTGGGGTTTAGGGTTTGGTCTCACGGGATTTAGCCTTAGGGTCTAGTATTTTTTCGGTTGGCTTTGTCACTTCTTGGTTTGGGGCTTGGTGAAGTACTGAAAACCTGAAATTATGCCCATCATTCTCGTTTGCCAACTTCCGAATAGTCGCTACTATTACTAGTGACTAGTGGCATGAGCCAGATCATCCTAAGAGTGCTGACATCGCCATCGCCAATGCTACTATCAGTATGACCACGTCCCAGTGTTATTCATCTCGGTGGCCGTTCTTGAACCTGCTGACGGATCTCCCTTTCCAGGCGGCGGTCAACGTTTCCTGGGCTCCGCATGCCCGGCCTGTGCTCCAACCCCGTAGACAGAAACATGTGCCTTGCACCTCTCACCAGCCCATCGAACAACATCGGCACCATGGGTGACTACCACCGACACCAATATCATCGTCACGAGATTCACTAGATCGTCATGGCCACTATCTTCCGAAGCATGCCAATCATATCCGTGAGCCCTAAACCTTATAAATCCTAACGCCTAAGTCCTCGACCCTCCTTCGAAAGCATAAAAGAAGCCGAATCCATCAGTGGCCAGCGGCGACCCGTCGATCTTCCTCTTCTGGACGAGCTTCAGAATCCTCCCAAATTCACGAAGTTCAGGGTTTCGGGGTTTAGGGTTTTGGATTCAGGGTCAGTGGGGTCACAGGGTGTTTTGTGCTTTGCGGTCGGGGCCCAATTGGGCTCATAGCCTTGGGACAGCCTGCCAAATGCCCGGCCTCTCACCAGTCTGCCTCGGCCGAAAGGGACACCGGAGATCCGAGTCATCTTCTGATGGCACTAGGACCCTCATGTGGGAGTTTCCGAAAATCAGGGGTACCTTATTTTGGGGTCCTTATATTAAGGATCCTATTATTTAGGGTACTGTATTAGGGTCCCCTATTTTCAGCAACCCCCATGTCTTGCCCATGCCTCACGCAGACGCGACATTTTCCAAGGACCTGGGCATCTGGGGGCCGGGCCCCTTCAAGTACATCGAGCTGTCGGCTCCTAAGGTCCTGATCCCATGACTACAAGAGCAAACAGTGGTGGAGCTTCGGAAAAGTGAACATGAAGTGCTTGGCCAGTCCTGCTCGGTCGCCGGGTGGGATCATTGGCTGGCTCTTTGGCTGGCTCTTCGTTTAACTGGGCAGGGGCAGGCGATCCGGACGGGCACAGGGTGTCACTGTACATTGCCTGTGCATTTCCTTTCTTTGCGCAAGTCTCTGCGATGCCAGAAGCGCACAAGTCGTGTCGGAGACATCGGGTGGGCCTCTGCCGCCTCTGCCAAGGTGTCGATGTCGGATTGGATCTGGCTCGCTACGGATAGTCCCCAGACGGCCCACACTCACTGAAAGCTGAATCCTTCTCCGAATCGCTTCACAGCCTGAACTTGACCCTGCTGTTTTGCTGCTTGACCTGCTTTCTTCAAGCCATACAAAAACCTAAGCCCTCAATCCAACACCAGAAAAGCATAACAAGTTTACGTTCCGCCCACTCGGCAGGCCTGACGGTGAGGATCCAGAGGGAAGGTCCAGTCAGTGCTGCGCTGATACACGAGGCCCTCTGGAAGACCCTGCCTGGCGAGGATGCATTGCGACACACACACACACAC